GTCTCACAACTCGCGTCGCCTCGAGGGTCTGCTTCCTTTCACTTCCGACGTTCGTGTTCGGTGTCTGCGTGGTTCTGCTAGCAAGGTCTGTCTTTGTCTCAATTGCAATCGCGTAGCCGTGGTGTACCTGGCCGTCTTTATGCTGACAGATTGCCGTAGAGCCTGTTTCTAGGGCAACCCTTCGCATCGTCTTCTCCTCCACGTCCATCCGCCCATGCCATCAAGGCAAACATCTGCCTCGCCGCGTTCACTACATATACATCCCGCGCTTTCTGCGACAGCGTCGCTGTAATATATATCGCATTACCGTTCGAGCCGACTCGCTTTTGCGATCGTTCCATCCCACACGAGTTGACAAGTGTCGGAGACTGAGGCCTGGAAAAAGAAAGCACAGGGGCCACACAAGTAAAGGAGCGCTGTTTATCAAGCCAGTCTTCTGAAAAGTCTGTTTTAGGCAGGATAACGAAGGACTGGTGCCGCCCAGTTGCATCATCAAGAAACGTTCATTCGCGAGTCGCAGCTGCTCGTACTGTTGAAGAGACATCCACACGTCCCATTAAGTTGGAGTACGTAGCAGAGATTCTGAGTCGAGCTCATTCCAGAGTACCTGTTACCTGTGCCGACGTCCAACCAGAACGCTCTCAACGCGACCATTTCCATCCATTAAACGCACGGCCCAACAGCGTGCCTACGTTACCTAGGTATCGCTCACTCTACTAGAAGCGCAACTACCACCAGCTCGCGCTAGACCGATATCGCACGTACAAAGAATCCCCGCAATTGCCGCGTATAAAACCACGAGACCTGCCTACCAGTCACTCGCTCGATATCTTCAGTCGCCTCCCTCTCAACTCCTACGGGCGCGCCGTTCGTCTGGTCCTGGGTCACTCCCAACAAAGCGCCGCACGATAAGCTTCGGAACGTTAGTCTGCTACCAATCATGGAGGCCGACCCGTCTCAGCAGACACAGCCTGCAACTCAGCAGGTCCTGGATCCACGTCGACTAGGCAGGAACAACTCGGGTCTCAATGACGGTGATATCGCCGATGTCTTGGTCATTCTCCACCCAGCTACTCCTACAGCCATTCGGATTGTCGAGCAGACAGCGCAAGATCGACCCGAGCATGTGCTCTTCCGCAATTCACTCGATTCCATGAGTAGTTCCATCACCGACGTTGAGGAGCAGGAGACATTCATCATCAACGCTCCGGAGGGACGACAAGGTACCAGCTCGCGGGCTGGTGCAGATCTGGCTCTACGCATGTCATCCGCGAAGAGGTTGAAGTTCAAGCCGCTCGGATTTATATTTGGACGCAATCACCAAAGCGCCGATGTTATCTTTGGCCAGGACTCCGGCAAGAGGATAAGCAACCAACACTTCCGCATATATCTGAATGCGGATGGTCTTCTCATGCTCGATGACATGTCCACCAATGGCACCATTGTCGACGATGCGCTCCTGAAGTGCAAGGATCCACGCTTTAGTAAGATGCGGATGCTGAGCTCGGGATCGATCATCTGTATCCAGAACTCCAACGATGCAGAGATGATCAAATTCATCGTCCGGGTACCGTCTAGAGTCAATTACATGGACCGCTTCCGCGACAACCTGCGCAACTTCATCACGGAGTGCACTCCAGACGCTGGGGACGCACAGGGCAAGGTTATTCAGCGAATCACCAAGCAATATGGCGGCCCAGCGATGAAGTGGGATGGAGGTGATACCTATAACATCGTCGGTACGTATTGCTGCAATAACACAGCCAATAGCTGCTAACTCTTCCCAGGGCAGATCGGCAAGGGCGCCTTTGCGACCGTTTACCAACTCGCTGAAAAGATGACTGGAAAACTTCTCGCAGCTAAAGAGCTGGAAAAGCGCCGATTCATGAAAAACGGAATGCTAGATAAAAAGATCGACAACGAGATGAAAATTATGCAAGACCTGCGTCACCCAAATATCGTCCAGTTCACAGAGTACCACGACCAGGGCGATTATCTCTACATCATCATGGAGTTCGTGCGGCAAGGAGATCTACAAGGCTATCTTAACAATCATGGATCCATGGAGGAGGATGTTGCGAGGTCAATGGCTCAGCAGATCCTAAGCGCGCTTAGTTATCTGCACCGAGCCAAGATCACACATCGCGACATCAAGCCCGACAACATTCTCATCTCCGATCTGGATCCTTTCACGGTCAAGCTGTCCGATTTCGGACTTTCAAAAGTTGTCAAGCACGAAGAAACCTTCCTCAAGACTTTCTGCGGAACCCTGTTGTACTGCGCCCCAGAAGTGTTCCCCGACTTCAACGGTCAATCAAAGGGAACCAAACGTCGACGTGGTGCCAAGACGTACCACTCTTATAGCTCTTCTGTGGACATATGGTCCTTTGGTGGTGTCCTATGGTATGCGCTATGCGGCGAACCTCCGTTTAGGGGTATCGCTGATGCTACCGGCGAAGCCATGTTCAACAATATCATGAAAACGCCCCTCGACCCGACACCGCTACGCAAGGCTGGTGTGTCCCCTGCTTGTATCGATCTTCTTACTGGTATGCTGCGAACCGACCCTGCAGAGCGTCCAACCGATCGCGACTGTCTCAACCATCCTTGGCTTAAAGATGGCGCGGAACTTCTCGCCGACCCGACTCTTCAGTCCATTGCGGAAGAAGACGAGCCTGAGGAGGCCGAGCAGCAGCTGTCGCAGCTCAGTCTCCAGGAGGAAGAGATTCCGGAGTCAGATGAAGACGGAGGCATTCTGTCCGATGAAGAGCTCATGGGCTTTGTCAACGAGCGTCAGCCAAAGCGAGTTCGCGCCGATCCCCTGTACCCGCGCAACCAGGTACGTGATCGTGGCGACTCAAGCGTTGAGCCGTCGTTTACTTCCTCACACCTTGTAAACGAGGAGAGCTTTCAAATGGCCCCAACACCTAGGCAACCTCGTCTGTTCGGCGAAATTGGCCAGTCAGCTTTGCAGAGCTCCGGCGTCTTGAGCGCTCATGCCCATGACGCCCTGTCGCAAGATGGGTCTGTCCGCCTTGCCCAAATTGATGGAGCAGGCGAAACGAGTTACACCGCTGGTCAGTCGGAGTTTCAGGGTCCTTTCACTGCGCCCGCCCAACTAGAGCGCGGCTTTTCCTCGCCTAGCCTTCTTGGTACCGAGTCTTTGGTACGAGATCTCAACATGACCTCGCCGCACTCACCCGTATCCAGGACACAGAGCCCGGTTATGCCTGCGACCCCCAGGACCCCGGAGGTCGTTCAACACAATTCTTTGGAACAGTCGTCCAAGGACTTCAGTCAGATTAGTGAGCCAACTCCGAGAGCACGACCTATCAATCGCCAGATCAATCTTCCTTTGACTGCCTCCTATTATTACGATCCGATGGACCCGAACACGCATAATCTGGAGTACGCTTCCAGAGTGAGTGGGTTTGACTTCGTGTCCAATAGCCGCAATTCCAACACCGAAACATCTGCATATCCGGACACAACAGCAGCTTCGGACGCAAGTGCGCAGTCGACAAGATCAAGCATTGCGAGAGTACCATCTCCGGCGGCAGCAATCCCTTCTGTTCCAGCGGAGCTTGATATCCGTCCACCACCCCGGCGACTGGGTAAGCTCATCGCAACCCCGGACTCCTTCGCACCCAACCTTACTCTCAACATCGATCAGAGTAAGACTTCTTGGGGCCGCTTGAGCAACAATACGATCGTGTACGAACACAAATCAGATACTCGCGTTCCTAAAACAGCTTTCATAGTGTTTTTCTACTCGTCAGGTGGCCAGACCCAAGAGACAGTGGATGACCTGTCACAACAGGGCAAAGATTGGACCAGCTTGGAGAATTTGAACGTTGGTATCTGGACTTGCGCCACACATGGTATCTCCATAAACGGCAAACACTTGAAGCAAAAGGACGACAAGGGGCGTGTTATCTACGGACATCTACACACTGGTGACATCATACAGGTGTACCACGATGTCCGCGGAATCGAGTGCCTAAAATTCCGCTGCGAGTTTTATCTTGGAGCTGGCAAGGAGCCACGACCGGCGGGCGACAGCTTCAGCACCATGATTGGCAGCCGGCTGTCACAGTAAACATGTCTTCGTCGAAGCAGAATTCATACGTCAGCGTCTATACAACACAGCAGCAATTTCTCATTTCCTGGCCATTTTCATTCTATTCGGGTTAGCGGGCGTTGTTGGCTTCTGTACTACTACGACTATTCCTACACATTCTCTTTGTAATGGCATCACCTCGGTGTTGGGGCTCCAAGATCGAGCAAAATCGTCTTTTTTGGAGTGAAAGCATACTGTTTGGGTGGTACATGGTCGATACAAAGCGTATTATTTCGCATCTGGCAGCGAAATTGTGGATTGGACTGAGAGTGAGAGCATAGATAAACTGTGTCTAGTGAAATGCCTAGAAAGGCAAGGACATCAAGTAAAGAACAATACGAGTGAAGCAACTGCCAACATAACATATTCAACTTCCATCTTGCACTGCACTTCTCGGTGGATGTATGGTGAGGGTCATCATGCTTTAAAAGAACTCTGTCAAGCTTGCTCTCCGCGTTGCGTTGGCGATTCAGACGAAGCTTTTGCACGACACAGCTCTCCGTGACTTCACAGCACGTGGTGAACAATCGCCAGCTAGTCATGAACTTAGGCCAGAAGCTGGTGTTTCATGGAAAACATATGGTATTTGCATAGCTCATTTCCTCTAAACAAATTGGCTATGGAGCTTCACTCTCTGGCGAGCCCTTGTCCTCCTCACTCTAGCAATACCACCGACTATTCCAATCAAGGCCGCAGCAACACTTGCTATTGCCCATGGGCGGTCAACAAACCACAACACCACAGCGACATCCGAGCCATGCCATGAACCGCCGGGCTTATGGCCGAAGAAGGTGTACTCTTCCGAGTAGAAGATTCGCGGTAGAACGAGGAAGGAGGTGGGGTCTGTGCAAGATAGGTTAGTTACTGAGACCTTTCTCCTTCACAAGACGAAAGTGGCTGACTTACCAAGGTCATTCCGTGCCTTCCACTGTTTACATTGCCCATCAGGACATGCTTCAAACCATTCCTGCAAGATTGTGCTCGTAAATTGCGGTCCAGTTGTCCAGAAGATTGTAAGGTACGGGAAAAGTAGATTCCAGTTGTGTGTAACAAGGCCTTCTGTCATCTTCTTCACGACCGGGTGCTTCGCCGCTGATGCCATCAAGTCGTTGTTGACGCCCAGTGGCGATGCTTCTGGGAACCAGGCTGGGAAGTCCAGTAAGGGGTCTAGTGAGCGTCGGCATGCGACGTCTAGGTCCATGTATACGCCGCCGAAGTGGTAGAGGGCGAAGTACTTCAAGGCATCAACCTTTTGTATCTAAACGTCGTTGGATGAAGTCAGTATACGTCTCAATTGCATTTCGTACAGGGAGAGTACTGACAGGGTATCGGTAACCATCGTATGTCGGTAGGAACCAGGCGTACTCGTTGGACAGGAACTCGCGAGCGCTCGTTGCATTCCACATGCGGATTTCGTAGCTGGGGTTGTGCTCTCGACAGAGTTTCGGCGACCCGAATCCAATAGAGGGGCCTCCACTAGAGCCTTCATGGTTGGGGTAGATTCTCTCAAACCATATGTAATGTATCGTGCGCGGGATCTTAGATCCGGTGTAGGTAGATGTATAGTCGGACTCCAGAGGTTGCTCGTTGCGCGCTACGGAACCGTTCAGAGCCTTAGCGTAGGACTCAGGGAAGTCGTCGAAGGTGATCTTGCGGCGCTCGATGTAGGCTTGGAAGGCATGTTGGCGCCTGAAGATACTGAAGATCTTCAACAACGCGGCGGCGATGACGATTCGGATGAGAATCTGGCGGAGGAACATCTTGTTCATGCTGTCGAGATGCTAGCTTCAATGAGCAGGAACAAAGTCCTTATGCATGAGAGATAGGTCGACCTTCCACCCTCTGCTTCGAGTAAGCGCCCCTGTGTCAAAGTTACTCTGAGCACCGAGTAGTCCTAGAGACACCGCCCCAACGCTAGTCTCGCACATACTATAGCATCGAATCATCTTGACAGTTGCGCCCTATAGCTGACAGGGTCATCGTAAGATGAAGTGTTGATCTCAGAGATACGAGTTTCAGGAGAAGGGTCGTGGGTAGCATGCCAGAAGTTGCACATCCTGGACCCATACTGCGGTGAGTGATAGGCCGAGGGCCACACAAATCTGTTGTCAGTGCCCAATAATCCACCGAGCATGAACAGAGAGAGGCGGAACGTGCTACCACGGCCGTACCTAGAGCGCAAACTCCTCATGCTGATTTTCATCTCCGATCTTAGTGACAACGTGCACTTTTGTGACAACTTGTTCACTCGTGGAACGACTGTAGTACTAAGGCTTGCCTTCGCATATCCTGAGTTCCTTTAGCACTCAATATCCGCGTAGAGAGGCATGAGTTGATTCGCTTTGCGGCACTTGCCAGCGTCGGACCGAGCGACTAATGTGACCAAGCTTTACAAGCTCCGGGTATGGTTCTCATGTTGACTTCAAGCATTTTGAGTACGGAAAGCGGCGTTTTGAAACGTAGAGCGGAGCTAGGCCACACAGCCACTGTGGGCGAGCTGCCTGTATAGTCCAGCCTAGTGGGCTAGCGCCCTTCGAGCGGAGAGGTTTCTACCGTTGTGACAGCACGGATAGGCCAGTTATGCTGAGATCCCGCCAATTGGGACTCGACCATTGTCCAATGACCGACCAGATGCACCCCAGGTTTCCTTCCAACTGGATGCAGTGGCTTGCCGTTATCCGGTAATAGCAGAACTGGCAACAGAAAAGCCCTTTTTCGCTGTCCACCGCTATACCTGCGATCGATTTGCTAGAAGCTATTAGTTTACATCACTCTTGATGTTTTCCAAGTGATTGTCGGCATTTAAGTGACACAGCACTTCGCAATGCTGAAATTGCGCGACAAATCAAAGCATGTGAGGACCAAGTAAAAGCAGCGCTGTCTTTGCGTGTCTCAATGCAACCTCTATACAACTTGGGATCGTGATTCTCGGTTGGGTATTCTAGGGAACTGTCGACAAGTTGGAAAAAACGTCGCTTAATGATGAAACCTGCTTCTACGAAACGGCAGGTCCTAGTCCAGATCCAGGGTAAACCTAGTGTTTATGCGCGTCGAGGGGTTCCCGTGCAATGTTTGCAAGCTCTTTAGGGAAGTGAAAGAAGACGACTTGCTGCGCCACAGCTGTTCCAGGATGAGAACTGGGGAAAGCTTAGTCGGATGGAAATTACTGCTAAATGTGTGTCGCACGTGCCAGTTTCGAAAGCGTAATATATATCCAATAGCGGAGGTGACCGATGTCGTCTATTTGTTCTTGACGAGAATGGAAACCTGCATATTCATTTAGCGGATCAGCGCACTCGTGGCCATGCACTCATTGCAACGGGGCTTCTTATTCAGGAAATCGATTCGGCTCGCTTTCTACGCTTGACGAGGTTGGTATGACTCGCACCTGATGCGCGATGTGAGAAGCTGTGTGCAGAGCGGATGCGCAACCGGCGAGTTCTGACGCGGCCCCGTGTTCGCCAGTTTCGAAGGACCTTAGGTTACTAATCAAACAAGCTCAACTAATGCGTGGAGTAAGAAACACCAAGATCTCGCTGATGTCAAGGCATTGTACGATACAGGGATTCTGCGTTGTACGTTACAGGGAGTTTCCGTCGCGGGTCATTCCTTCATTAGATGTGCCAGGGAAGACGTCGCTGCACATTCCGGGAAAGGGTTTCCTGTCGCTAGATCGATGGCCGGCGTAGTTTAGCTGGTTCAGCAACTTCAGCTGACGGGACCGGAGTTCAACTCTAAGTGTTGGCGATCGGATCGTCGCGAGATGAGCGGGAAGCGCGAAGAGATGGACCCAGGGAGTTGGTGCAACATCGGTGGCCTGATGCGTGGCTTCCTGCACGGGGCCAAGGCAGACCCCGTAGTGGATTCCAAGACCGGGGTGGCTTATGTAATCTTCGTCTGTGGATGCCGATGTCCCCTAAAGCGGCGCTCGGCACTGTCACGGCAAGCTCCGAGGTTGCTCGCAGGTATGGTCTCATCACAACCTTAACATCGGCATTGGCTACGTTCACTCGGACGGCCGCTAAGCTGCGCGGGAAATGATGGTGCGCTAAGTACACATGTAGTTTCAACTCTGTTGTTAGCTATCCTGTAGGTGCTGGCCACCCACGTGTAGCAGCAATATGGTTTGCGCTTTCCACCTTCCCCGGTCCTAATACACGTAGATGAAGTCTTCGTTTTTCATGTCTGTTAGGTCAGAAAAGCCGTTATCTTGCTCCTGTCTCTGATCTTGTGCCTCCATCTCCACACCTTTTTGTGTCATTTCTTTCTTCTTCAGCATACTTTCGTCAACCCTGACTGCGCTCTTGCCCAATTCTTCTCTGCGCTTCGCGTGCCTCTTGTTCAGCAGTGCTAGGTAGACGGGGATCAAGAGCGCGATGATAGCTACGAGTGCGAACATGACCAAGTTGGCGATAAGGCCTGGCCGGTAAAGAGGCGCGTCGTCCACCGAGTATAGCAGCGGGCCGATGACGTTGCCTGTTGTACGTAGTTAGTGTCGTCTCCCATCAGACCGTGAACAGATATTACTTACCGGTACACATCCCAATGAACACCATAGCCGACGTGCACTTCTTCTTCGTGTCACCGGCGGTGTTTTGAACATGCCAAGTGTATATCAAAGGTGTAATAGCGGCGAGGCATGATACAAGGTAGTAGCCAAAGAGTAAAACGCCCTTGTGCTGGCGCGGCACGGTCAACATCATGATCGTGCCGATTATGGGAAGGATGGCGACGAGGGCGATGGCAAGACCTTTGCGACTCCAGCGCGTTGCACCCCATGAGGAACCCAGGATGCAGACAATCTGAATGACACCGAAGGGTATGTTGAATAGGATAGATTGGAAGTTGGTGTAGCCGAAGTCGCGGATGATGAGGTTGCCAAAGGTGGAAATACCGCCACTTGCTATGCTATGCACGGAACGAACATCAGTAACAAGATCCAAATACAGAGGGCCATTACTCACGATATCGCGATGATGGCAATGAACCAACACCAGGTCTTGAGGTCAATCAAAGTCTCCCAGACCTGATCCCACTTCCATTCTCCTGACTGGATGCCCATCTGGTTAGCCCGCAGACGCTCGACTGCGATGAACCTCTCTCGCTCGGTCAGATATTTGGCTTTCATCGGGCTATCCGGCATTAGGACGAGGACGACAAATGCATACACCACAGTCAGAAGACCGCAGAACATAAAGATGACCTGGTACTTGTATAGCGACTCGCTGTTGATGTGTCCGAGACCGTAGGTGAATAGTGAGCCAACAATGAAGGTGACTCCGTTCATAGCGTTCCAGTATCCAGTCCGAAGAGTCTGTTCGGACCGGCGCCACCACATCGTTGTAGTTGCGACACAAGCCGGTGCGATCATGGCCTACAAGAACGAAGATACGAAGTTAGTATGGGATCCACGCGCATTCCGTACAGTTGCAACTTACCTCGAAAGATCCCAATACGAACCGCAGACCAAGAAGGCTTTTGAAGTCTGTACAGGCGGCCATGATAGCTAGACTGCTACCCCAGAGGAAGATGGCTGTGCCGATAACTTTTCCCGTGGGCAATTTGACCAAGAGGAAGGCTGCGAGGGGCTGCATGACTAGTTGAGCCAAGTATAGAATAGAGCCAAGCCATGAGTATTGACGTCCTACTAGTTTGGCGTCTGCTTGCAGACCAAAGATGGAGACGTAAGACAAAGAGGATTTGTCGAGTTGCTGGAAGAAGTAGGCTCCGCTAGTTGTAGACATACAAAGTCAGTGCATATCTCGTTCGCAGTTGATAAGAAACCACTTACAGCAGAAGAGGGAGGACGCGATAGTCTACGCGCTTGAGAACAGCGCGCTCTTCTTCATATGAGAATGATGCATCATCGACATGAGCGTTGGCCAGAAACTTGGCCGCCGCATCTGCCTTCTCGACTTTCTGTGCAGGCGTAGGATTAGAGTGCTCGATATGTGTGATGGCATCTTCTTTGTGGGCTCCAGAATGCATGGTCGCCATGCTGCCGCAGAACGAAGACTGTAAGACGCTTGGTTGCTCTCCGAATGACTTACCAAGTGACCGGATCGTCTACTTATCAGACAAAAGCCCATGCTCGGATACCAGAGACCGACTGGTTGCGTCTCCCAATCCCGGTCGCATCCAGGTATCGATTGAGCGATGCCCTGGATGGCCATGTGCATTTCGAGCTTCCTGCTTGTGCTAGAAGCCCCTCATAGCTCTGTTGTTCCACGTATCAGGACTTGCAATTCCCTCTTCATTCGCAAAACTACCAGGTTTTCATGAGCTTTAGGCAAGGAGTGAGCTTCCCCGCAGAGCTCACGCGGTAAACTCTATTCCTGGCCATGATCGTCTCTGCTTCACTTTCCCCACGGGGGTGGATGCTGTGGGGCCTCTCTTCTAGACATTGGTTCACCGGTCGGCTATAGTGACGGGAGAATGCAAGATCGACGTCGTGAGATGATGTGGTTCAGCGTTCGGGATTGACTGTACCGAATATCGAGGGGTGTGACCGGGGTAGCGATACACCGATGCATCATCATAGAATATTTCCAAAGCTGTTAAGAAACGGCTAGAGAGCGAAGCCTTTAATCGTCTTATTTCTGATTCAACTTCTACTCTTGTATTATTTGTTAGCGAATATGGCTGGGGAAAACAAGCAAAAGAGATATGCGCTGATTGGCACAGGCGGCCGTTCGTCCTTCTTCTACAGCGCGATAGCAACAACGTACAAAGAAACCTCGGTTGTCGTAGCGCTATGCGATACGAACCAAACCCGACTTGACTTTGCGAACACACAGCTGGAGTCTCTTGGTCATGCCAAGGTTCCCACCTTCAAAGCGGCGGATTTCGATCGGATGATCCGGGAAACCAAGCCAGATGAAGTCATCGTAACAACAATCGATCGTACACACAACATCTATATCGTCCGCGCGTTAGAACTGGGCTGTAATGTCGTAACAGAGAAGCCTATGACCATCGATGCACCACGGTGTCGCGAGATTTTCGACGCAGTAGAACGAACGGGCAAGAAAGTGCGCGTTACGTTCAACTACCGCTACGCACCACACAACACCAAAGTGTGGGAGCTTCTCCGCTCTGGCGCAATCGGGAAAGTGACAAGCATACATTTCGAATGGATGCTCAACACGTCGCACGGCGCAGACTACTTCCGTCGCTGGCACCGCGACAAGCGCAACAGTGGGGGGCTGCTCGTCCATAAATCAACACATCATTTCGACCTCGTCAACTTCTGGCTAGCTTCTCGTCCGGAAACAGTGTACGCACAGGGCAACCTGAACTTCTACGGGCGTGAAAATGCCGAAAAGAGAGGTGTACAGGAGTTTTACACACGAGCCCATGGCAGCGAAGTGGCAAAGAGCGATCCATTCGCACTTCACCTTGAAAATAATGACAAGTTGAAGAAAATGTACCTCGATGCCGAGCATGAAGACGCGTACTATCGCGATCAGAGCGTCTTCGGTGACGGGATAAGTATAGAAGACACGATGAACCTCCTAGTGCGATATGAGAATGGCGCGGTGCTGACCTATTCTCTGACCGCATACGCACCCTGGGAAGGTTTCCGTGTCTCGTTCAACGGGACCGGCGGCCGTGTAGAGATGGAAGTCGTCGAGAACAGCTACGTGAACAGCGGGGGAGACCAGTCGCTCGAAGGATCACTCGAGACGCGATCAATCACACTCAGGAAGCTTTTCGAGAAGCCGCAAGATATCGAGATTCCAGATTCCGTCGGTGCGCATGGGGGAGGCGATGAGGTGTTGCTAGCCGACTTGTTTGGCGAGCAAGGTGCGGAAATCGATCAGGACATGCGAGCTGCAAGCCATGTCGATGGTGCACTCTCAATTTTGACGGGCATCTGCGGTAACAAGTCGATGGCTACGGGGCAAGTTGTGAAAGTCAGTGATGTATTCGTAGTGTAGATGGAAGCTTCATGCCATAGCTTCGTGGCATGCGCAGGTATGCCGTACTGGCCGGCGTGTGATAGAGAACTCTCAAAAGATTCATGCCAGCGCGCAGCAATATGCAACGATATTCAGCGCCTCCGTCGCTCAACTGTTGGATGTGGTGAAAAAGTAAAGTGACTTTGCAGGAGTAAGCGTCATTGTGTGGCACCTGGGGCCGAACGCGACTGCCCGCGTCGCAATCGCGCTAACCTCGACGCGCCTCCCCACCACCTGCACGTAGCTCACGTTCGGGCTGCCTTCACTATCATCGCGCTCGATGCCCGCTTGATCGTCCCCGGCCAGTTCCCAGATCTCAGAGTATCCCTGGAGATGTCACGATCAACACTATCCGTATTGCATCTTCATGTCAACGTTCAGAGGCATTGTAGCCGGTAAATGTCGCCCCACCGTGCCCAGCTGTCAGTGCCCTGACTAACGCGTCACTGCAGAATTTCCTCAGATCAGAATAGACTATTTCCGACAACAACCTGAACATAAGGCGCCTCTTGCATGTTTCTTGAGTCACGTACATTCTGATCATTTAACTGGTCTGGAGTCGTTGAGGGCCCCATTCGTGTACTGTTCAGCTGCGACTAAAGAGGTAAGCGGCAAACCTATGTAAAATGTTTGTCATGCAAAAGCTGACGTGTCTTGTAGATACTCTTGCGACTAGAAAAATACCATTATCGCGTCAACTTCGCCAAAGGCATCCTCGAAAGTCGCAATGTCACGTACGATAGAAGCATGCGCAAGTTGGCCAAGGCGCTTCCTCTGGACACACCAACCGTAATCGAGTTAGCGCCGGGCAACAGCATCAGGGTCACTCTTATCGATGCTAACCACTGCGTTGGAGCTGTCATGTTCCTAATTGAGGGCAGTGGCAAAGCAGTACTTTACACTGGCGATATTCGAGCAGAGGAATGGTGGGTGAACTCGTTGATACAGAACCCAGTACTTCTGCCGTATACACTCGGAAACCGAAAATTAGACTGCATGTATCTGGACACGACCTTTGCCACGAAGAAAAAGCCCTATCGACAGTTCCCGAGCAAGGCGCAAGGTATACAAGAGTTGCTCAGCAAAGTGAGTGACTACTCCGACGACACTATATTCTATTTCCATTCATGGACCTTTGGCTATGAAAACGTCTGGATAGCGTTATCTGCATTTTTGGGTTCTCGAATCCATCTCGACGACTACCGAGCACGCATATATGGCTCCTTGTCCGCATTGGACAAGCGACAACTTCGAGAAGCGGGGCTCGACGTGCCAGCAAGCAATAAAGCACTACAAGAATCTGGACTTGAGATCCGTGAGGCTCCTGCTTTATGCGGTTTCAAGAATGGAAACCACATACAACCGGGCTGTTTGACTTCTCGGGAGGATGTCCGCATTCACAGCTGCGAGCGCGGCATGGGCTGTTCCGTCCTAGACCGCGATACGAACGCCAAGATTGTACACATTATCCCGATCGTCACACGCGCCAACGGTGAAGACATTGCCGAGTTGGGTGCAGGAGGTGGAAAGGGTGACTTGGACCAAAAAGAAGAGCTGGAGTCTGGCGGTATGGGCGACGTCAAGAAGTTGATGGAGCTCTGTGCTACATCCATAAATGATGAACAGTTGCTTGAAAGGGTCATCACCTTACTCCAGCAGAGTCTCTTGGGAGACGGCAAGCTCGACCTTGGTATGCAACTACAAAAGCAGTTTGAAGAGACCCAGCGCGATCTGTCCCTAAAGACCCTCGTCTCTGTGCTATCATCGAATGTTTTGCAAGCTTCGAAAAGCGGACCGCCACTCAACAGGACCATTAGGTTTCCGTACAGTCGCCATTCTTCTTACTTCGAGCTCTGTGGTCTTGTCAGAGCTTTCAGCCCTAGGGACGTCTTTCCATGCACTGTTGACGAGACTCAATGGACACCCGAACTCAGCATACGGAATCTGTTTGGCAGTCTCTGTTCGAGTGAACTTTTCTCTCACGACGTGGTAATGGTGGAGCTGTACAAAGCTAGAGTTGACTACGAAGACCGGCAGAAACGAGGCAGAGAAGAGAGCCCGACGAATACGCAAATGACTGGAGATGGGACTGCGAGCCCGCCTGTGACTCAATTGGTCGTGGAGGAAGCCGTTGCATTACCTACATCATATCAAGCTGCTCCGAAACCCCCGACCGCGATGGACACCATCCAGCCATCAACGATTCCATCCCCATCAGAGACTTCTCCGCAAAACAGTCGTCATGATCAAGTGGCTGTCCAGAGTCCAGATCATACAGTGATCGATTCATCTTCAGCCCCCAAGCGAAAGACCGGAGCCAATACTCCCTCCAGAACGGAGGCTCTGGTACCCAGCTCCCACAAGAAGCAACGAATAACGCATCGACAACTCGCGTATGACGCAGCACTTGGAAAAAATGGCCTTTCTTGGAGCGATTTCGGAGGCTTGGTATCAACTAAAAGCAAGAAGACCCAGGATGAGCAGGAGCTATAAGTGGCACTCCGGCTTCGTGCGGGTTGTATATATGAACGAGTTTCGCGAGAACGTGCGACGCGTCGGTATTAGTCTGTTGCAATTTATTTGACCAAGAACAATGCGGGAATAGCCTTCGTATGAGGTGGTATAGGACTGTGCCCCCTTGTACCAACGTCATACACATCCATGAGCGTATTGCTTCCTGTGCAAGTACAACTAGCCACAACTCTACGGTTCTTGCTTTTCTCTTCGTCTAACTCCTCTTCGTCAATTGCGTCTTGTTATACATCCTCATCTCATCAGGCTGAGTTCTCTCCTCCCAGGAGCTTACCCTGTGCCTGAATGTCCATGTCGCGTCCCAGCCCGGCCTCTCTCATGAAGTCTGTCGCCTGCACCGTATCGACCCACCAATACTCACCATATACCTTCAACGGGAAGTCTTCAACCTCCGCACCTCGTCTGACATGCGACGCAACCGCCGCCTTGAGATCACATTCATAACTCCGCATCAAGGTCTGCCTCTCCAACTCCCAATCCCCAAAGTCGTGTAAAGTAGACAATTGAGCCCTTTTTTTCCAATGGTGTCGTATGGCCTCAAACCGACCGAGGTCAATCGGTAGCCCAGTAAATTCCGTGAACTTTCGTTCCATAGCGGAAGAGAGAATTTGCCATGCGCGTCCATGGCCGTCTGAGCAGAGGTTTCCTGCACGACTACGGCAGCTTTGACAGGAGTATTGTTGGAAGAATGAATGACAGATTTCGTGTAACAGGGTGCCAAGCATGTCGAAACTGTCTAGAGTCGGCTCTATCGTGATATTGTAGTAATAGTCGCGCCACGCTGCGCCCATCACGTCTGGATACTGAATGTGAAACTCATTGAGCCAACGGAATTTGGATTTGCGGTAGAACATGTCAGAGCCGAAGAAGAGGACGTTGATCTGCGTCCACAGGTCGCGGATCGAGGGTATGGGAAAGACTTCGTCGAGACTGGCAGGTGACCCAGCTGGTGTGTTGAGGAAAATCAGCGACATGTAGTGTTGTATCCAGGTTTGAATATTTTTCAAGGCGGTGAGTTGTGTGGTATTGAGTGTGTCGATGGGTCGGTCGAAGTATCGTACTGCCGTTCTCGTCAATGTCATCGCTTCGCTCCGGAAACGCGAAGCCATCGTTAAGGGCTCGTAGCATTGATATCCAAATTCATTTGCGGCACCCTTGAACTTGAGTTTTGGGTGATGGTGAAGACGTAGGATGCAATTGCAGTAGGATCCATAAAGTCGTGGATCACACTGATCACAGCGGCACACCGGTTTGGAGTCGTCCGTGTCGACGAGTTTGCGAAGTTCTTCGAGAGTATTCGGGCATGGTAATTTCTGCTTCTGCTTGCGTCGAAAGACGTTTCTGAGGCTGGATCCGATATCGACCTCGGTGATTATACGAGCAAAGTCTGCTTCCAGACGGCTTGAAGTGTGAATTCCTGGCATCTTGATAATGTTACTGAGCGACCTGCGGTGGGAGTTGATGTGGCGAGTGAGCCCAGGAGGACTTTATAACACCTGCAGCTCCGTTTTGTTAGGGGGTGATTTGATGTGAGAAACTTCGTTGACTGTACTGGCCACGCTGCAGAGCAATGGGGTCGATGATTCACTCAAAAAGATTGTGCTTTTCCCCTCTGATTTGCAACGTGATGTGGGTGATTTATACAAAGATAAGCCGTGACACTGCGATGGAATACTAAAGACGAGCCATTCACAGCTCCGATAACTCATCTCATGCCTGTATGAAATCGTGGTTGAATGTGGAGACGACCACTTCGAACGAACCCTGGCGAACCAGCGTTTCCAACTTACCAACACCCGAACGTGGACACCCAAAGTTGCTTGCAAAGCCCAAGCAATGGTTCGTCCAAAAGAATCGTGTCGAATGAAAAGCGTTCCGAATTCATGAAAGGCGAGTACGTTCCTGAGTTTTAGGTCGGGATATCATTATGCAGTTAAGTGATGCGGGATGCGTATGCCGAAGAACTGTCGTTATTTTATTTGACTCTGGCTCGTAACCGCTCATCGACTTCCTGAATACCACCTCCTAACAATGCATCAGTGCCCTACGCCACCTGCTACCCAGTTCATGAATTCAGGATCGCCTGGATTTGGGAACATTCCCCTATCCTGTGGCGGTTGTCCTTGCGCTTGCTGTTGTTGAACAGGCACGCCTTGATTCAGCTGTTGCTGCTGTTCTTGTTGCCGTCTTCTTTCTTCCTCCTGTCTTCTTTGCCTCTGTGTTCTGTAGTAAAGCAGGAAGGCCAAAGCCCCGCTCAGGGCCAAGATGATGAGTGATTCCAGAATATCCGAATCGATCTCGTCGCCATGATAGCCGTCGCCGTAAAAGTCGTCGCCAGCGGTATGCGTGTCGTCGTAATCATCAGCTTCGTAGTCATCCCAGCCAGCGAGTTCGGCTTCGAGAAAGGCGTTCAGCCACTCCGAGAGTGTCCATTGTTTCTTGACGACTGTAGTCATATTAGCATCCAGATGTCAAAAAAGATGCAAAGAATGATGACTTACCGGGATCTTCTTGAATGGACTTGATGTTGCCGTTTGTAAAAGTGTTCCACCAACTCCGGAACCTAAGCTTGTACAGTGCCAAAACGACAGGTAAATAGGCCTCACGTGGATTCGTCTCCAGAGCCAGATCATAGTGTCTCTTTGCGAGGTGGAAGTCTTGATCAATGCCGATGCCATTCTCATGCATCCAACCCAGGTTCCACATGGCTTGTGCGCTTCTCATGGTCTCAGCTGCGGCTTGGTAACAAGCTGCAGCTTTTTCAGAATCAGGTTGTGTTCCGAGACCCATCAGGTAATAATCTCCCATCTTGACCATAGCATCGACGTTCTTCTGTTCGGCAGAGCGCGTCCAGTATACCAAAGCCAGGAATGCGTCGCTAGCTAGCGAGGCCTTTTGCTTCATAAAGGGCACAAGCGAGTTGAATGTAAAACGAGGCTTGACTTGATCAAGGAGGTAGGCCACGTTGGCCTGTGCGACCTCGAAGCCTTGCTCAGCTGCCATCATGTAGCTTACGAGTGCGGTCTCTAGGTCACCATTCGCATACGCCTCATTAGCTTCGGGGAAAGACGTAGAGACGAGTTCGGCTTTCTCTGCTACGATCTTGTAATAGGTGGCCGCCAAAGGACAGGACTTGGATCGAGCGATACCGTTGTGCGTCATCTCAGCTAAGTAGTAGAACGCCTCGAGGTGTCCATGCCTAGCGGCAAGTTCAAAGTATTTGGCGGCGACGGCGATGTCCCCCTGATCTAAGAAGAGCGCACCTAGCCGAACTTGTGCGACTGCCAAATCCTGGTCGGCAGCCGCGCCGAATAGCTCAGCAGCCTTTACAGCATCTTGAGGTACACCGAGGCCTTTCAGGTACATGATACCCATAGAGTATTGCGACAGCGCATCGCCCAAGTCCAAGCCACGTCGGAACCATAACCTCGCAATCTCGAAGCTTTGCGGCATGCCTTCACCGCGCAGAAACATGCGACCAAGGTAGCCGGCGGCCTTCGCGGCCAGCTTCTCGACGGTAGGCGACACATTCGCATTGGGCTTTCCGTTTTGCGGCCAGTACATGCGCGCAAGCTCCATGAAGCGCTTCTTGGCCGCTGGAAGGTCGCGCTTCAAAGTTCGTGCGCCATCGTAGTTCAGCTTGGCAAGATTGAATGTGGCCCTGGCATCGCCCTTCCGGGCCTGGAGATCCATGTATTCGAAAACGTCGTCGAGGGAAGAAAAGGCATCAGACTGAGCGCTGGCGACTTTGGCATTGGGCCCAGAGCTGCTTGTACTTGCGCCTTCGCCATACACGCCACCCTGATCGTCAGCGATGTTGTATGACTCCCGCGGCATAGAGTGGCCGCCAGGTGGCCCAGACCGCATGTATGCAATAGCCTTCTCCGCTGCCGCTTTGTAGAAATGCACAGCCTCTTCGCAGTTACGCGGAGTAGATATGCCTGCCGAGTGCCTGTACGCAACAGCCATCTCTGACCGCACGTCTCCTCCTTCGGCGCCCAGTGTATAGTATAGCATAGCCTTTGCCTGATCTTGCTTGACTGCTCCACCAATGCCGGTCGCGTACATGAAGCCAACCATGTGCTGTGCCGATGCATTGCCGTTCAAAATCGCGAGCTCGTGGTATCGTCGAAAGGCTTCGGAGTAGTTGCGCGGATGCGTGTAATTGCCGTAGAAGTTCATCTCGGCAAGGGTGAATATGGCGTCGGGATTCCTTTGAGCCGCTGCCTCTTCCAGCAGGGTGACGGCTTGTGACAGAGAATGCCCTAGCTGCTTCGGTTGTGGGTTCGTCGTCAACAGCTCTTGCTGTGGGGGGCCATTCATGAAGAGAAGGAAGAAGACCTCTTTCGCGTAGTACGCGCTGGTACCCAAAATGCCAGACTTCTTATCAAAGTTCCACCATGGTGCGGCAGCCGGTTTGATCGTGTGTAGAAGCGTCGTGGCCTCATTGAAGGCCAGTACGCCCTGATGTGGATTCGCGCCCCCTTCTGTGTTCCCCCATCTTGACTTCCAGGCCTCCTTGCTTTGGTCCGAAGAAACGCATAAGAATAGTGAGAGAAGGACTGCGGGTCTACAAGTCAGTCAGAAGCTTCCTACGTTGCCTGCGCAGGTGCGTACCGAAGAGAAGCGGCACACGCCGCGGTAGCTGTGGCCTCATTGTGGGTATATGTCGAAATTCAAAGTGATGCGAAGAAAGAAACTCATGGCGTCATCTCGGGAGGGCGGAAGCAGAGGCGCGACTACGTGTAGGCAGTCGTGGTGAGGTTGTTTGTAGAGGCCAGCTTTCCACTATCACGGCCGGGGTGGCAGTTGCGCCCCCGATGCGTGGCTCCCGCAGCCAATGAGCGTTGACGTCACTCATGTCACAGGTTCACGCGCTGCAACGTCGCCTTGGGCCTTCCGCTTCGATTCGTAAACGACAACCGAGTATCTACTTGCAACTGATTTTCAGCGCGCTTGCTTCATACCGTCGTCGCTTGTTCCGCTGTCTATGCGGACGAAAGCCCTCGGGCAAGGGCAACCGACCTCTTTCTGCATTTGTCATCGGCGGAAGCACTAACATCCTTGCACGCATCGTCATGATTCCCTTCTCCAGACGCGTTTCTACGCGAAGTCTCTCTCGTTCATTATCGCTGGATAGCACTCTCCTTATCTTTTGACATTATACTGGAAGTCGTATGTCATGACAGTTTTGAATACCTCGGTAGAACGCGAGCCCCTGCTCCAGCCTTCGATATCGCCGCCCTTATCGAATAGGGAGGGCAAAGATGATGAACAGGCCATTTCAGCGTCTAGAGGCGCACTTATAGTTGGCTCCGTCGGTCTCTTGATATTCCTGCAAGGTATGTCTTTCAAAATCTACGCGCTTCGTCACCATATAATCCCGCCTTCGATCATGTGCAATTCCATCTATGCATGAGAATGTGGCAAATCAACAGAAGTCATGTTCTATCAAAATTCCACAAACTATGCGAAACAAACTTGACCTAACCTTCACGACAGCTACGAACATCTCTATCCTTACAACGACCCAATCGTCTATCGCCGCTGATCTTGATGCCTTCGAAACTGCCAGCTGGTTTACTTCATCGTATCTCATCGCCATGTCTTCTCTCGCCCCTTTGATGGGACGACTATGTCAAGTGTTTAGTCCACGGTTATGCATGTTCTTCTCCACTATGTTGATAGCCATTGGATCGGCCATCACGTCCACATCTGTGTCTTTCGAACACTTTATCATCGGCCGCGTTGTAACTGGAGCTGGTGGCGGTGGCATTTTCATCGTTGCTAGCATCATGGCGATCCAGATGACCAGCCCTAAACGAAGAGGCTTGTATATGGGCCTTGCAAACACTGCAATGACAGTCGGTGTCTCACTTGGAGCGGTCATAGCGGGCGCGCTTGAGCCTAGAATTGGATGGGTAAGTGGACACTATCAGATGACGAGATCTAGTGGGCTCAACTGACATAACCACAGAAACCATTGTTTGGCATCCAGGCACCAATAAGCTTTGTGGCTGGCTTGGGTCTTCTCTTTTCAATTCCAGCCAGCCATACTTCAAAGAACATCAAGTATGAAAATCTCTCGATCCGCGAAAAGCTAGCCCGCATCGACTACTCCGGAGCCCTGCTCTTGACCACCACCATTGTGCTCTTCCTTCTTGGCTTATCTGGTCCAAAGGTTCTTCCAACGCCGATCATTCTATCGGCTCTTGCTCTTCCAGTATTCGTTCTAAACGAGGCCTACGTCGCTGGCGATCCCGTCATTCCAGTCTCCGTTCTACGATCTCGTGGAACCCTGTTGACCTGCCTTGGCACGACTGGCTTCATGATGGCCCGTTGGAGTATCCTCTTCTACACGCCCGTATATGCGCTTGCCGTTCGGGGTTGGGCTCCGGCTGTCGCTGGATCAATTCTCATTCCCACTAACGCCGGCTTTGCAACCGGTGGTCTTCTTGCTGGTGTCTTCCATATCAAACGCACGGGCAGCTTCTACCTCCATACCGTCGTTGCGATGGCACTATTTCCAATCACTATGGCTGTCCTGGCTCTCATTTCTACACCAACAAGTCCGTGGGGTCTATATGTTGCTATGGTGTTCCTCAACGGACTTGTTACTGGCGCGGCAACGAACTACGCACTTGTCCATCTGCTCCATCTTACACTCCCGGAGGTGCACCCGATCGTGATCTCTCTCCTTGCTACGTTTCGCGGCTTCTCAGGCTCTTTCGGTTCGGCCATTGGCGGTGGCTACTTCGTTCGCGTACTGCACAAATCTCTGGATGACGGTTTTGCGCAGGCTGGGTTGAAGAATCGCGGTGAGCTCACTCGGAGACTACTAGGGAGTCCGGCACTTGTAGGTAAGCTGGAAGGAAAAGACAGGGTCGTTGCCGTCGGGGCATACGCGGATGCACTCAAGGCATTGTTCCTTTGTGCCGTAGGACTCTCCATCGTCGTCGTGCTCGTACAGGCCGGTACAGGTTGGAAGGAGCCGGCAAAGAGCGAGGGTCAAAGAGCGGAAGAGGAGGTGGAAGTCGAAGACGGGATGCCTGCAGGTGCTTGAGCTCAATGTTCAGTACAGCTATTTTTTGTCTTTTTCGGTTGTGCATAGCCAGGTCAACACTCATCATTTTATGGTGCAAGGACTGCCATTGAGCGCCAATAGTCTCTTTTCCATACTCACCTACCCTTCACTTTCTACGTCTACTGGACTTCACGATGATCTCTCACCGTGAGATCTCCCGGCGCCCTGTCATTTCTTGCGCAGGTACCCGTCATGCATGCTAGCGTCATCATCGCGATCCTCTCACTGTTTCCATCGTCTTCCATTGTGTCACTCGGCTCCTACCCGGTCTCGCTTCGTCTGTTTGTTGTCGTTGGTGCAGGGTCCACTGCATCGCGCCTGCCTATATAAAAATTTCCCACGCTCTCACCTCCGCTCCTGCGACCCCACCTCACCAGCGACGACGTGCGAGATCAATTGTACGATCAAGAGACAGTGACCTCATTGTCGACCGCCTGCGACGCATACTCTGCTTATACAAGGTAAGTTCCTCTCACCTCTGGCGTATTCACACGTCGGTCTTCAGGCCCAGTCAGCCTGCTCCGCAAGTTTGCAAGTGCGCACACTCAGTTTTGAACGCGTCGCGCGCAGACCGCGCGCAGACCGCGAGCTCCAAGCTGCTTCCAGTCTGGATTCTTTAGGCGCTCGACCGACGTCTGTCGCGCTTCACTGCACTGCTGCCGTCTCTGGAGTGCAAAAAGCTAACGAACTGTGTCTAGTTCACCTCTCTCACATCGTCCACAGTCCTCATCATGGCTCGTGGTCCGGCTAACCTGTATTCGACCATGGTATCCAACCCATACCCCAAGGCCAAGGAGCATGTTGCTCGTATCTCCGTTTGCGAGCTCTGCGACCGCGAGATCCTCACAAAGGATTGGAACGGACACAAGAACTCCAAGAAGCACCGGGAGGCCGAAGCCAAAGAGCGCGAAGAGTTAGAGAAGGCCAAGAACCCAGCTGGTACTTTCGGCGGTGACGCTACAAGCTTCGGTGGTGGCAACGAGTTCAGCGGCACCAACGAGTTTGCTGACGCCAACAACGAGTTCGGCTCTGGTGGTGACACCTTCGGCGGCGCTACGACTACTGCCAATGACGGCTGGGGCTCTGCGGGCGGTTTCTCTACTGCAAACACTACCAGCTACAACAACAACGGCGGCGGTGGCGGCGATCGGGCCTGCTTTGGCTGTGGTCAGACTGGCCATCAAAAGCGTGACTGCCCCTCTGGTGGAGGTGGCGGTGGCGGCGACCGTGCCTGCTTCGGCTGTGGTATGACGGGTCACCAGAAGCGCGATTGTCCTCAGGGCTCTGGTGGTCAAGCCTGCTTCAACTGCGGCGAGACTGGGTAAGTCGAACTCTTGTCGATCGTTTTGGAGTGTCAAGCTAACATTTAACAGACATCGCAAGACGGAGTGCACTCAGCCTCGTAAGCCCATGGCTGGTGGTCCTGGTCGCGCATGCCACAACTGCGGAGATGAGGGTCATATGTCGCGCGAGTGCGACAAGCCTCGTGTCATGAAGTGCCGTAACTGCGACGAGGAGGGTCATGCTTCTCGCGAGTGCCCCAAGCCTCGTGACTGGTCCCGCGTGAAGTGCCGCAACTGCAACAACTTCGGTCATGGCGAGAAGCGTTGCCCTGAGCCTCCTGCTGAGGCTGCCGGCGGTGACTGGGGCGATGCCGGTGGCTCGACCGCTGCGGCTGGCGGTTGGGGTGATACTCCGGTTGAGTCGAGCGGCAACTGGGCTGACGACACCACCGCAGCTGCCGATGCCAATACTTCTTCTGGCTGGTAGACCAAGTGAGCGAGCGTCTTTCCATTCGCCTGTTGGCACAATGAAATCTCAGCATTGCCCAACATACACGATTCTTGTAAGGACGACTGACGGATTCGGACATCGATCGAGCCAATGGCTATCGGTAGGGAAGGCTACGAGTCTGATTTGAGCTCATGAACGATGGAGAAGTTCTGTTAGGGTAGTGGAGAGGCAGCCCACGTGTATGCACTTGCAGTTACGTTCCAAGCGAAGCGCGACCATGTACAGCAAGGTACTCCACATAGACCAAACAAACACTAACCCTTGTACGCATATTCACCTGCGCTCCATGCTAACACATAACGGTATGCTACGTGACACTTGCTGCTTTTAGCTCTGCTGTATCTGCGTTCTACTCTCGTCTAACGACCATACTACCCTGCTCAGTACATCGCGTGCCAGCCATGGAGACGACTTTCAGTCACAGATGATCACCACCCATTTACCTTTGTCAAATAAGTAACAAAGGCGGCGGCCACGGTCGAAGGATACATAGTGATCGCCAGAGGTGTTTGCAAGACTTCTCATTGGTGGGACAACATCTAAATGAATCTAGGTATTGCGTAGGTGAATTGCCAGCGGAGTGAAGGATACGGCTGATAGGGGAGACTGGGCTTGTCGTTCCTTATTAGTACCCTTGGCAAGATTACATGTCTCTGCCCAAGGCCATTAAAAGGGCTTGGACGTTTGATTTAATTTACAGAAAGTACATACTTGAGGGGTGCATGGTAGACCCTTCACTGACCTGTGACAGCTTCCAGATATCCCGGTCTTCTTCGTCCGAGCACGCCCAAAAAGAAGGCCGAAACCCTATTGCAGTCCGCAAACACTTGATTAGTTAGACTATTGGGAGGCAAAACGAGTGAAGCGACCTAGAAGAACATACACTACACGATGTCTGTTCTGCATCGTGACATAGCCAAGGTGGAGTCGGAACGACAGCCATAACATGTGAAGGAACTTAGCGGAAACCAACGATGACGAAGGCTACCACTACGGGATGACAGGGCTGCTGGACATCTTGAGGGTCCAGAGATAAGGGCGCGTCCCGAAGGTTTCCAAGGTTCCAAGGTTCTCTCTGTATCAGCCCTGGATGATAAGCCCGGGGCGTGCGGCATCCGGTCCTTTTCCCAACCCGAGATCCAAGCCTGTTGGAATCTCCGGACCTCGTCGCCGTAAGCTTACGCGCATAGCCTCGTTCAGATGCCACCATGGTATTTGGAAACCAGAGCCTTCATGGTGGTCGTTTTGAAGGCGCAAACATGTGGCTGAAGCGACTTCTGCATCTCATGAAGCAGCGGTCAAAACTCTCCAGCGGATCAAGACTTCTAGAGCCCAACGGCGTCTAGTAGTAGGGCTGTAGCGCAACGTCTCCGCACCATAGCGCGTGGAAGGCTCGCTACGGGGTGCTTGCTCGGCGCTACGGAGTTGTCTCCAGCTTCCCCTCGTCGGAACCGTTGAAGTAAGCTTTAGCGGTGACTCGTCCACTGATGCGCTAGCCCTTGACATATTGCCCTACGATCCGATAGATCGAGGATATACCGTGTTGTGATTGATTGACGTTGAGTGAGAAGTCTTGCCACGGCGTAATACGCAAATTAGTTTGAACACTTGATCAGAGCTCGCTTCGTGGACCTATATGTCGTGAGACCACTCCCCATGTCTCAACGGACACCTTGGCAGCGTTGATGCGATCTTCTACCTTTGCGATAATATTTGCTTTTGCGCAAATCTCCATCGCTGGTGTGGCTGCGCAGCCAATGTCTCCGCTTTTCCTTGTTACTCGGGACGAAAGCCACAAGCATGTCAACCTGGACGAGCTGCCACCACATCGCGTGGCAGTGATTATTATATGCATTCTGTTTGCATTTGTTCTCGCGTTGGCCCAGGGTAAGTGCATTCGAATTCTATGTTGCCCGTTTCGTATCCAGAGGTCGCTCAGAACGTTTGCTAACTGTTTGGTAGGATATCGAGCAGGCCGCATGGCTGGCCAGAAGTCCAAAAATCGGGTGTCAGATGTACTCGTGTTCGCGCAAGGCTTCATCTGCTCGGCCTTTCTATTTGCCACAGCCATACAGATAGCTGGATTGGGTCTGCAAACGGATGCTCAATGTCATGCTGCCATAAGAGTCTGCATCGCCATGTATAGCGCGGACAAGATAGCACTGTAAGTGTTTACTCGTGCTTGACGCTCACCCAAAGCCCGGATGCTGAACCACGTACAGATATCTCTTCTTGCTGGAGCGCGTTCACATCGTACGAGCTCCCTTTGTGGATCGCACAAGGGATATGCTGTATGTCTTCGGAGGAATCTTCGTCACGGGTGGTTTCCTCGCGATCATGGGATGGCAGTTTGTCAACCCAATGGCTATCTTGAACCACCAGACAGGCGAATGCAGGATAGGCATCGAGCGGCCGGCTACGATCGCGATCATCGTGCTGGACATCCTGATGAACACTGTCCTCACAGGAATCTTCGTATGGCAGCTTCGACCAGCACTGGGCTCAGCGGCACCTAGGATATTCAGTCTCGCAAGCGACACTGCTGGTACATCAAGCGACTCTTCAATGCAGAGACTCCGACTTTGGATGAAAGGAACACGACGAGCCGTATCTTCTCGGAACAACTTGCGAGTCATGCTGGTTCGAAATGTTGTTGGCTCCGGCTTCATGTTGTTTGTCACTTTGTGCAACAACAGCCTGTTTCTCGCCTGGAGTTTCGCGAAGATGAGCCATGCTTGTCTGCTCATGTGCCTTGCTGATAGTAAGTTTACGATCCGCCCCTTGTGGTCAACAAACGCTGATGCATAGTTCAGTCTGTCTCGGTATGCTTGTCACCCAATGGCTGACAATGCGTTCGGCTGATCCGGAGATATCGCCACCGGTATCTCGAGCTTCTCTTGTGGACGAACGTACCGATTCCGAGGTGTCATTTGTCAACGAGAAGCCTGTGCCTATCAGCCGCGTGCTGGATAAGGTACGCTTCAATCTCCGTTGAAGGCGGCGATGCTGTCAAGAAGTTGTATTTTGCAACGTGTCTCTTAGCAGCCTCGAGCTACAAAACGACCGGAAGGATCCGTTTGCGGTGTACTCCATGGACTTCTTGCCCACCTTGTTCGGTCTTGTTACATACCGACTTACACGCGATTGGCTGCGCTTGCCTTCATCCCATAACGCTGTCTAGCACCTTCCTGCGTAACTGATACGACGCCTTCATCGATTAGCGAGTGCCGTCAAAAAAGAGTGCTTTGGGCGGCAACGAGTTTCGTACGCCACACTCTGTTTGGTGCGGCCAAGGGCTGCGCGGTACTGCATGGCTGCGGTTGTGCATATACCCCAATTGTCAGCGAAAGTGACCGCGGAGGGCCGTGGGAACGTTCATGGACCATCTTTGGAGCAGGTCGGCTTGAGACGAGACCGTACCGCGAGCTCATGACGTCAGTCAGATAAACCAGGGTCTTGCCCAATGAAGACTAGCGTTAGGCCAGCGCAAATCTTGGAAAGAACTGCCCACCTGGGCAGGTATGCACAACCTCCGCACATGCATTGCGAGTACAGTCCTTCATACCAAGATACATAGTCCGACAGAAGCTCATCATATACTGAGTCAGGAGTTATAAGGTTACGACCGAGTACCAGTGAGTTCAGCTAGATCACCCTGTTCGTATGTACAATATGACAACTGAATGTATCAAATTCCACTACGACATCCCACTCTTTCCATTCTGACCTTGTTATCGTCTATATGTCGGACGTCTTATACTACATGAAAGTGCTCCCCGCCTATTTCAGAGGTGGGTCGAAGAACCACATCTCCTCACGTTCCACGACCATCTCATCTCTCTCCACATGCTCGTGATATTTCTCGCATACCTTACCCCTCAATGCGACCAAGTATTCTCTCACATCTGAATTCCTGACAATTGTCTCAGCGACGTTTTTGTTTCTACCACCTTCCATCCTGAAGCCCTTCGCAAGATTGACCTTCCACTCGGCCATGTCCTCCGTCTCACCGCAGTTCAGCATGATGTCTTGCATCATGGTCCTCAAAGCAGAGTCCCTCAGATGCTCCTCGATGTACTTCATGATATTGTATGGAAGTGGCTGGGCGTCGCGCAAAAGCTTGTTGAAGAACACGTCCACAATCTTGTTGCGCAGGAGCGGGATATCGAAGGTGTCGGCAGATACGTGGAGTTCGCATAAGAAGAGGTATCTCGAGCTGGAGTCATTGCTGGAGTCTAGGCTGCCGTTGTAGAGCCAGTTGGCGAAGACGTCGAATCGCATTGGCGTAGAGCACGCGAGGTGGATCGCTGTGCGCTCCTCGTTTGAGGAGTCTGAAAGGGCCTCATGGAAGTGTCGCGAGCGCGCTCTGAGTGCTTCGACATGTAGGTCATACTGCTGGATATTGCTGCCGGCGCCAACCTTGATCGTGACTGTGTCGTGCTTGTTGGTGATGGTAGGCGCGGTCCACGGGTGTGCGCACCATGCTAATGGGTGGCTCATCGTAATAGTGTTGGAGTTGCTTTCTTTGAAGGAGGTGTAGATGTTGTTGATAAAGTTCTCACAAGGTGTAAAAGTCGTTTGTGTCTCTCTTGGTAGGCAGCAAACCCCACTAGCCGAGAAGCCGAAGTGAAAGTGAAGGTGAAGATACGTTTGTGCTAACCTAGCCAACCTGAGCAGTATACATGCACCTCTTCTCTATGAGTAGCTGTAAAACATGTCAGTCATTAGATGAGGGTTTAAGTACAACGGTTAGTATATATGCTGTATCTTGATTTAACGAGCATCCGATTACCCCGTAGCAGGATCATGGAGCGCAACAACGGAAGGGCGACATGGGTACGGTCAAAATGGATCACATAGTCTCAGATGTACTTCATTCATGTACTAAGAACGTAGCATGAAAGTGAATACAACTTCAACAATCTTAGAAGACTTAACGGATCCACCTGCATTGTTGACCGAAAGTCTCCCACATAACTTGAAAGGTAAAATGACAACCTTGCTACACCGTCTCCTAAGTGCACTTGCGTCTCGGATTAGTGACTGCCTCTGAGCTGCCACATCCGAGAGCTAGACTTACGAATTGAAATCTCCTCAAATGGCATCCCTTTCTCTGTGTACATGATATCTTTCGCAAAAGCTCGTTCGCATGTCGACGAACCAAGTGTCTGCATCGATCCTTGACCCGTCACCCGGGACTAGGCCTCGAGCTCGACATCCCACAATGATATCTATGAGGAACTCTTTGTGGCAATCGAAGAGATGATGTCTTTTACATTCCCTGAAGTTGCCCGATGCCGCCATTATATCGACAATAAGCTTCCTCATACTGTCCCCTTCAGATGTGTTGGTGTACAAGAATTCTGTAACATCGACAGAGACCACATTCTCTGACAGCCAACGAGTGTATAAAGATTCCAAGACAGCGTTCTTGAAGATAGGCGCCTGATGAAAGTCGGAGAACACGTAGGCCTTCATCACCTTCCCCCAGTCCAGAAGGCCTCCGCTGTCCGCCAGACCTACAACACCAGAATTGAGCCAATAGAAGAACACGTCGAAGGTGTCGGCGTCGGTATCCTTTAGTCGAAGGTACGTTGAGCCACCTTCCCGGAAAGAACCGTTGAGCATGCGATCGAAGTAGCTGGAGAAGTGACACAGGAGCCCGCGATAGATCTTGAACTTCTTCTTGGCATTGTCCGGTCCGACCGCGACGGTAATGATCTTGTCGTAGACGTGGCTGAGATTGTTAGCAAGAACGCATGGCTGGAATTGTTTCGGACTCACGCTGGTGGTTTGGTGGGCGCATGTGCACAAGGAATTAGCTCTATACTGCGTACGGCGTCGGCGGTGAACGGCACTTCGGTCGCCATCGCGTGAGATAGGGTCGTGACAAGAAACGTCGCTGAGGAATTGGTGACGTGGTGGGCAATCGAGAAGAATTTTGAGGTACCGGTGCAAGAACTAGTTGTCTTGGCGGTGCTCGGGTGGTGAGAGTGAAAGTGAAAGTGAGAGTGAGAGTGAGAGCGAGAACACCAATCGGTAATTCGACTCTGAGGACATGAGACAAACTTGATAAAGTCGGATAGACCTTGCTACTTAGATGTCGCAATTCGGTCGACAAGCCTTCGGGGTGTAGTAGCATTGGCAGAGCCTGTTCCATACTACCTTCTCCTTGAGTATACCAGGAACTTTTCTCGAAGTAACGTGCGAGATGTTGTAATCGGCCGCATGTAATGACGGATCGTAAGAACAGGCAGAGCAAACAGCAAGACTAAACACCGGGCAACCACGTTGTCACGCAATTGAACATAGACAAGGTTTTGAATCCGAATCGACTTTGTATTACAAGAACGAATTGGCCAGGTTCTCGAAGTATTTCCTAGCGCCATCTAGGTCGACGTTCACGGTGACTTTTGATCTCTCTTTGTCAGTGAGGGTCCTTCCCAAAGAAACTTGTATCGCTTCTATAGTGGACTCCTCATTTGGCTGGTTCACGATCTGAAGATTCATGCTACCACTCTCAACCTCTTTGCCGCCAACCACAATGATGTGATTGTACTTCTTTGTTCTTGCCTCGGCGATCTTTTTCCCGAGCGAGCGGTCGCTTGTATCGACATCGACGGGCAGGTGTATAGTCGATAACGGTAAGGGCCTGGGTGACGATGCGGACGTGGCTGGTGCGTCGGAGGGTGTGAGACCGGAAAGGACAGACTGAATGCGCGAGACATGTTCGAGAACTTTAGGGTCTGAGTTTAACGATAGAACGATAGCTGGTCGAGGCGAAAGCCAGAACGGGTATTTGCCAGCATAGTGTTCGATCAGTAGAGCCATGAAGCGTTCGATGGAACCGTAGATGGCACGATGTACGATGACCGGCCGGCGAAGAGCCGGATCCAGTCCTGCATCCATAGATGACTGCGGCCCTACCTCCAATTCTTCTGGCGATGCTTGGTATTGCAGATCGAAGCGCTGCGGTAGCTGAAAGTCGAGCTGTATGGTTGCCGTCTGATGCTCCTTGCCATTCGAATCTTTCAAGATGATGTCAATCTTCGGACCATAGAACGCTCCGTCTCCCTCGTTTATTGCCCATTCGCTTCCGATGTTGTTTAAGGCGGTAGTCAACTGCTCCTCCGCGCGATCCCACTCCTCGATTGTGCCGATGAAGCTGTCCTTGGGCCGAGTGGAGAGAAGCAGTTTGTAGGGCCCCAGTCCAAACGTGTTGTATACCATGCCCACGAACTTGAGTGTCTGCTCAATCTCTGCTAGAATTTGGTCTGGCCGACAGAAGATGTGCGCATCGTCCTGGTGGAACCGCCTGACTCTGGTCAGACCTGTCAAAGCGCCTGAGATCTCGTTCCGGTGCAGAGCACTGAAGTCGGCGAATCTGACTGGGAGATCTCTGTAACTCTTGATCTCATCCCTGAACAGCAAACAGTGGCCAGGGCAGTTCATTGGCTTCAGACCGAACTCCCCGTCTTCTCCGCCTTCTGCTTCAGGTATCTGCGCTGTTGTCCCTCTTCCCTGCACACTGAACATGTCTTCTGCATAGTTCTCCCAGTGCCCAGACTTCTCCCATAGCGACTTCTTGTATATTATAGGCGTGATGACCTCTTGGAAGCCGAATTGCGGATATTGCGCTCGCAGGAACGACTGCAACTTCTGGAAGACATAGGCACCGTTGGGAAGGATGAGCGGCGATCCGGGGCTATATGGAGATGTGATAAAGAGATTGTGTGTTTGCGCGAGGGCTCGGTGGTCGAGAGGAGGTGTAGGCGGGGTGCCGGCGGTAGGGTTCAATTGCGCACTGGCGGGTGCTTCAGACGAGACGGTCACCGTGTGCTGCAACTGGTGGGGCGCAGAACAAGAGCAACTGCGCGCGAAGAGACGTCCATGTTGGCGCCACCTCGTTGGTTCTAATTGCGCCCGTCTTGCAGTCCGTAGCGTGAGGGAAAGCTGGCGTAGTGACATCGGAAAGTCTTGACTCCTGCACCAACTTCGCGTGCTGTTCAGGATGCACTTTCTGGACTAGTCGTCTTGGCGCACGCGAGCTCGAACATGACGTCGACGCGTCTGTACGCCAACATCACTTAATCCCCGAACGCAGTCAGGTACTACAGGTACAGTGCTAGGGCCATCGCTCTGGAACTCCACTAACAACAAAAGTGCTTGATGTCTCTGCGACGCACTAAGACACAGTATGCGCCGGAAGCCTGATTGGCAGGCCCCACGTCACACGTAGGAAGTGGCAACCTGTTCTACCCAGCCTCCTACAACGACACAAAGGCAGTCAGTGAGACAGTTTGGGTCATCACTAGACACACCACTGCCTAAATCTATAACTACCCCCTGCTCTGTATTGCATTCTTACCTTGACCCACCCAACCGTCAGCCCTACGTCACAGACCTAGATACCATCGACTTAGAATATGAGCGCACGTTCGCGGCGACTCGAACACAGCTTGGGCAGTAGCTGGGGCGACGCTGACTACGCATCCGGTAACGAAGGCTCCATTCACTCGGCCAGCGACGAAGCCAGCGAATTGGAACTAGAGGACTCTGACAAAGAAACTGTACAAGAACCACGAACGACCGTGACACCCAGACCTAAGCGCAATCACCTCAGCAAGTCAACACCTACGGCGCAAGCGCAGGCTCGACCCGTGAGGAAGCCAGCAAGTCGGACCAAAGCCAGCCAGTCGCAAAGGATAGGATCCGACAGAACACCAAAACAAGACGCATCCGAGCCGAGCTTCATCATGCCTTCCATGAGTAACTCGCCGAGTGGTTACAGCGGCTCGCCAGGTCCAAAATCTCAGCCTCGGAACCGAGCAAGAAACACGACCCAAAACCGCCCATCAGACTCGCCCCTTGCACCAGGCAGCTCTTTCACGAAAGAGTCTGCCAGCGGATACCCGCAAGCGCCGCAACATAACCAGGAAGAAGTGAGCCCATGGCACTACGTGAACCTCTTCTGGGATAACGTCGCCGCACCACTCCTCGCCCACTTCCTAGACATCTTCTCCTACGCGATGCGACACTTTATCAAGCCGTTCTTAGGGGTCGCCCTCGGCGTTGGTATCCTAGTCTTCGGCATCCAGCTAGCGTCCGGCATACTACGATCCACAGTATCGAACGCTGTAATGGGGCCTGTTTGCGCGATACCAGGCTCTTCCTACCTCATCCCCGCATGCGCTACGTTAGACACGTCAGAACCTCAGGCCGACTTCGAGGAACTCATCAATGTTCAAAGTCGATTCGAGGATATCCTGGACGCATCGAAAGATACTTCTGCTCTGCCAGCCACGATCAAGAACTCCGAGCTTGCTATTCGCGACTTGCGTATTCTTGTCAAGCACTCTCGTCTTCCGAGCCGGAAGGCCCTGGATAATGAATTCGAGTACTTTGTACAAACAGCCAACGAGGCTTCCGTCGATCTGTCTCGTTACAACAGTCGCATAGGGGCAGCTATGGACCGTGTAATTGCGACAAACACCTGGACCATGAACGTGTTGTCTGGTATCTCGGAGAAAGAGGCTTCCATTGGCGCCGTTGGCCGAGTTATCAACCAGGTCACGGGTGCGTTCGTCGCGCCACCGCCAACGCTCCAACAACGCATCTTCGACCAGTATGTCTCACACGTCAGCAAGAACAAAGACGAGATTACGCGTCTTATCGAAACAGCTCAAGCTCTGCTTCTTGTTCTGCACAACCTTGATGAGCGACTAGGTACCATCTACGAAATCGCAACAGGCGATGACCAGACGATAACAGGCAGACAAGAGGAGCTTCTTTCAAGCCTTTGGACGAAGCTCGGCGGTAACCGCGGGGATGTAAAAGCCAACACCAAGTCCCTTAATCTACTTGCCAACATCGGAGCCTATCGCAAGAGAGCGGTCAATCATGTATCTGGCACACTTCTGAAGCTGCAAGAGATACAGGCCGAGTTAGAGAACTTGCGTGAGGGAGTTGCGGCGCCAGAGATGTTGGGGTACAGAAGTGATCTACCTTTGGAGTACCATATCGATGCTATCGGGAAGGGTGTGGATAGGCTGCAGGTCAGTCGTGGAGAGCACATGAGGGTTGAGGGGGACACGTATAAGAGGCTTATGCGTGGTGGCGAAGAAGGCGAGGGTAGAAGGGAGCTGCCTGGACCGACAGTCACCGTGAAGGCGAAGTAGTAAGATCGTCTCGATACAGGCAGCTTTGGAGAAACCTGGCTTAGTACTTGAATATTTTTTGACGGCGTTCACAAGATTGTCTTTACTTTCCTTTTGGTTTCATTTTTCCACTTGGTACATCCCTAGATACCCATCTCATCCATAACTCATGACCGCAATGAACCATTATTTTTACAAAGTTCAATGCATCTGCACCTCAACCAAACACCTCCTCACACCTCCATCGCTTCCATCGCCTAGGCCTTCGAACTCCATCTCGTACGCTACACATCCCCTCTGCGCACAAGCTTCTCTGAATCCATCCACACTACCTCCAACACCAAAGTACACTCTCTTCGCCGCTACCATCGTCTTGCCCGTCTTCACCCGTCCCATCAGCGCGACAATTGCATCAGTAAACGCCGTGAGCGAGGCTGGCGAGTAGATAGTTTCCGAGCCAAGGATAAATGTGCTCAAATCCGGAGACGAAGGAACCATCTCCAGAAGCTTCTCGACCGGCGTCCAAGACCCCGAGATAAACGTCATTGTAATCCCAATCTCACTCATCGCCTTCTTGAAAGCAGCTAGAATTTCAGGAGTGATGTACAACTCGCTACTCTCCTCCTGTTCCAACAGCGGATTGCCCGTCTCAGGAAATAACGCGGCACTCTCCTCAGCACTTAGCGTACCCACCCATGTCAGAAGTAGATTGG